GTGACTTTGCATAGGAAAGAGTAAAGCTACAGCAGCTCCAGCACAATGAAGATTAAACAGCAAGCCGCGAAGAGGAAGGAATAAGTAAAAATAATATTTTTATCATTCTCTCGTCTCCAGTTTGCAAAATGTTTATTTTACTTATAAAAAACTTTTTAATATTTCACCGCAATGCTTTATCATACTGGATGAAATGAGAAGTTTCAAGCAAGTGGAATGGATGGAATTCATCTTACCATATAATCACTACTCGACGTAGAATGCTATAAAGTCCATTATGAGGAACATATGATGTAAAGTATTTATTAGTAATAGCAAACGAGCTAAAGAACTGCCAATAATCATTTGTCGGATGTGCTTCTTCTTATTCTTCTCATACCGATAAATCATTTCATTTTCTGGCCCAAACAGATGTTTTTTTTGTGCAAATACATAAAATATCGACACTTTGAAAAAAATTTTTTCCATTCACTTGTTAGCACTACTTAGCTTTGGGTTTGCCCACCATCAATAAATGTGTAATAATTCTTTCGAATGGGATAACTTTTTTATACTTTTTTTGTTGTTGTTAAAAAGCTCTTATAAGCCTGTTCTGTGACTAAAATTTATGTATTCATGAGTCAATTTTGGGAGAAAGATTTTAATTACTCTTTTACGATCTTTAAGGGTTGAATGATCAAAATTTGTGTTGGCTGATAACGAAATGAAATTTGAAGGTAACTGGGTTATTTGTGTCGAGTCTGGAAGGCTGATTTATGATTAATTTTTTGAGATAAAAAATAATTGTTTAAATAAATTGTTGTGCGTTCTTAAAGAAGAATTCATAAAGTCACATGCATGGATAGTGATTTGATTTAATTTTTTAGCGATTGGCTAAATTTGATTATTTGCAAACTGAATCATTAGCAGGGATAATGCAAAAATGCGCCCTTGACACTTTAATAGCTTTAACCTCTAAAACTTGATGCATAACCACTACCGTAAATTTTTTTTGTTAAGCCTTTATAGGTGGTCGATTTGAATAAGGAATATAAAAAATGTTCTTCATATTTTCAATTATTTCCAGTCTAAACACTACACATGTTCTTCTCCATCCACTTGACTATCGTACATATTTTCCCATCATCCCATGTTCTGCTCTTCATAAGCCTGGCTAATGGCGCAAGAAAAAGGATGGGTTTGAAAGAGCTTAAAAAAATTTTCTTCTCTGTTTCCAACAATTTCCATAACATTTTATGGACCACTGCAATTAACTTTTCCCACTGACTTGAGTTGCTTCATGAAATCCCTTAGGAAATTTACCATCGACAACTTTTACATTATTATGGCTTTATAAATGTTACATTTTTCTTGTTCTATCTTCTTTTTATTTCCTTCAACCTCAAAATATTTTTATTAGGTGATGTTAGTGGCATCGACTGACTAAGATGAGTGTGGGATCGTTAAATTGTAACATGTATGAATAAGAAAATTATTATATGAGAAAATAGTAATACAACATATGTTTTACATTATCATTCTACTATATGACATAGTTTTCATTCTCTCCTGACTTCTTACCGACTTCGTCTCTATTTTGCATAAACAATTAAATTCATTTTGAATGTAAATAAATTTTTACAATTCCCTAAAGGGGCTGTTCACTTATTACGTAACGCGAAAAAATGACTTTTTAGAAACCCCCCCCCCCCCCCCCCTTCTAACAAAATTTGTATGAAAAAAAAAATTCCTTGTTTGAACCGTAACAAAATCTTAGACCCCCCCTCCCCCCCTAAAAGCGTTACGTAATAAGTGAATGGCCCCAAAGAGATTGCATATGAAAATGAAGTACAAAATTTGAATTGTCTTTTGTTGTAAAATGTTAAACAATAGGAAATGGCAGTAGACGAACAAGAGAAGCATAAAGAGAGCACTTTAGAATCAGGAAGGGAGAAATTTTCTGCATAATATTATCAAGCAACAAAGTCAACAATTCAATTGTCTTTCTGTAAAATTTGTAAATATTTTCCCAGGATTTTCACCTATCTACCTGCTCTGATTTGCGTGATGTAAAGACATTAAGTTACATATAATCAACGTTTTAATGCGTTTGTAGTGTATTTCCATTTTCAGATTAAAATTGGGTCGATTCTCTTCGCTTATATGCAAATTTCTACATAAATTTTTGACATACAGGTATTTTTAGAATGAACTTCTGCGGGAATAATTGATGTTTGTGTTCATTTTGACTGCTTGATTTAATGATTCGCTTTAAATCTTGTAAAATGTGCAAATTCAAGGATTTTTTTCGTTATTTGTGATGAATGTTAAGTGCTTTTTAGATTTATTATCACATTATATCGACTGGAATCACGTTTGTTGAATGATTGTAAGGTAGAAAAATACTGAAGTCGTGTGAGAACATAACCTTAAATATTTGTTGTAGGAAGTCACGGATTCATGCATTTTGAACATTTTTATGAATTTAGAAAATCAGAAATATGAAATTCAAAAGTTCAGTGAAAAAATAAAGTCTTTTGAAACTATTTTCTAGAAATTATTATTGAACTAGTAACACTATTTACACAACATCAGCGTGCGAATGTAAGCCTCTCCATTTCCACCGTCAATCTCTAATTATTATTAAAATCATGTGAAAAATGAAATCTTCTCTTCATTCATTCAATCTTTCACTCATCTACATTGAATAATGTATAAAAATAGATCTTGAACTTCAATTCGCATGAAATATTTTCCATCCTTCATTACATCAGCGAGTACATTCGACCTGGTGACCTCGATTTGCATAAATATACTTTTTGTGCTTCTTCAGCTATAATTCACATTCATTTCATCCATGCAAGTTCAAACATTAATGTTTTATGTACAGTTTGTGTGTGCGGTGAGAGAAAGAGATTTAATGTGTGTAGATATGTCTCTCATACATATCAGTGCTAAGGCCATATATATGTATATACGCGCTTATTTTAATCATTCTCTATATCCATTGTAATATACTTTTTTCTGGAGCTATGTGAAGCATACACAGCACAAAAAAAAATGTTTTTTTTTTCATCGCTTTTTAGTGGCTTTTTGCACAAAAAATATTACTGATAAATCTCGCAAATTACTACATACACACTTATATTGTGAATGAGTTATTGTTTTTTTGTTGTTGTTGCTTTTTGACATTGGGTATAATTATTTCCAGATTGAGATTTATGGAACTCGATGATTGTTTTAAAGATTATGTTATTTTATGTTTATTGATCGATGCTTACTATTTACAGCTGCTAATGCTCGGTCGTGAAATATATTTTTATTATTTATTACGATGGGAAAGTTCTTAACAGTTTGGAATAAAAGGTTAAAATAATTTTTGATGCTTTTACATTAAAACTTGTTATAGTAATAATCAGCACAAATGCACACATTCTTCAAAAATCATTGCATCCAAACTTTTACTTTTAAATTATTCAAGAGCTTAGTTAAATCCACAAAAAACAATTTGGCAGATTATTTAAGCACCAAATAGTTTAAAATTACACTCTCTGTTTCTAATACTCGATGTGAACATGCATTCCGACAAAACTTTTTTTTTAAAATCCATTCTCTCATAAATTACAAACCGCTGCTGCTGTTTTTATCATCAAGCCCGAAATATAGAAAAGGAACATCTAAGCTCGTATATATGTGATATGTGGCGCGTACATTACACAATAAACAAACATATCAAAAGAGTGTCATGACATTACTGTACACATGATAACGTTGGCGACAATAGTAGCATTATTATGGAACCATAGAAAATTTATGCAGGGAAAAAATGTTTAGAGTGTTGAATATGAAGCTGCAAAAATGGCATGAGAAGGAGATATGTAATGTATATCTGAATCATAACGCGCCAAATAGTATGAGAGATGCTCTTGCACATTTATAAAGACATAAATGCCAATTTCAAGCGCAGTAAAAATGAAGCGAATTATGAAAAACGACATGAAAATGAAATGTACGGGATCTTTAATAATGTGAAACATGAAAATTTCACAAACATAAATTGTGCTTGAGGTTTTTTATTTTTTCCTCCTTTTTTTTCTGTTTCATGAATAAAACACAAATGGAGTCGCAGAATCTGGTTTAATTTGATTAAAACATTTCAAGTCATAAAGAATTCTTATGGGAAATTTCAGCTGCAAAATTTAAAATTCTTTTATCATAAACGACCGTTAAATTTTTCATCATAATCAATTAACAGCAAAAGTATTTCAAGCATGGGAAAAAGGTAGAAAAAGAAGTGTAATAAGCATACTAGCCGTTTCAATTAATAATAAAATTTTTCTTTGTTGTTGCTACTTCTGCTGACTTCACGTCGTTAGTTATTTATTTTGCTCTCGTTCATTTCTTTTTCTACGTTTCAGCTGTGAAGTTTAGAAAGTTTTTACAAGCAAAATTTTAATGCGAAAATGCGATTTTTGACTCATTTTTGCTATTTGAGTTTTAAGGTTATGAGATGGAAATTTATTGCCGATTTTTTGTTGAAATTGAAGCATTTTTGCTTTCATAGTGTATGTAAAACTGTTTTTGCTACTTTTTTCAACGATCTTGTGATCATTTTGCATTGATTGGGTGTTTATTTTAATTGTTATTCCCAAAAAGATTTTCCAAGCGCAGAAATTTATGTTCACACGAATTTTTTTTATAGTTTTAAAATTTTAAAATCCGTTAAAAACTTAGTGATTTTAAAATGCGTTCTAAAACATCCAAACAAACATTGCTTGCTCCATTTATCCTCCTTTCAGTGAAGTTTTAAATCTTTTTCTCTTCTGTCCACACTTTTTTTTATAAATACTAGTCGCAGAGCATAAAAAAGAATTTTTCATTGTTAAGTAGGAAAAATGCATCTGACAGCAATACAACTGTGTTAAACCATTAAAGGCTCCTCGCTTTATGACATTATTCTATTTTATGTTGTTGCATGAATGCATATGGACGTAAATGAAAGACACAAAAATCTGACTCACCTCTTCCTCATTGCTTGCGGTATTCACAGAATCCATTGATTGTGACAATGGATGAGATTGCATGGGATTTTGTCCCATTTGTCCGACTGGATCCATATTACTGTTGGTTGCTGTATTTGGTGTTGTTACTGAACTTGTTATTGTTGATGTCGTCGCAGATGACGCTACTGAATTATTATTGCTGGCAACACTTATATTTGATGCGGATGTTGTATTATTATTGTTATTACAATTATTCTGTTCTAATCCTTGTGTTGAAGCTGTTAAAATAGCTGAATTATTTTGCTGTTGTGTTGCTAATGCAGCTTGTGATGGGTTAAAGCTCGATGATGTATTAATTGACTTGATTTGTTGCTGCTGATATTGAGCTGATGCAATAAAGTTGGGAATTTGTGTTGGAATTGTTCCCGTTGGCGTTGAAGTTGATATAATTGATTTAATTTGAGTTAATGCGGGCGATTTTGCAGCAAGTGGTAATGGCAAATTCTGTAATATAGGCGAGGCTTGTGGATGATGATTCAAATGATGAAAAGGCGCTAAAGGATGATGATGATGATGAGGATGCTGAAAGTTTGCAACTGCTGCGGCTGCTGCTGTTTGTGATGCCAACAAGTAGTTATTATTGAGAATATGTGATGAAATCACAGGCGGTAGTGTCGATACGACAGTTGGATTTGTAGGTGTCAATGTAAGAGGATTTGACGCCGGTCGTAATCTCTTTGGTGACAATACCTGAGTTGGGGCGCTCGCTACCTGTTGTGATGATGATAATCATATGAATAGAGAATCATGTTAGACTGAATTCTCATGAATACGTGTTAAGCACAAATCAAATTGAATGAATGGAAACACAGAATGAAATTCTGTTCCATTTCCGGACATACTGATGAATGTGACAATGTCCATACATGATTTGTGATTAACACAAAAGCTTTTTTTTGAGTATTCTGATGAACGTAAAAGCATAAATTGAGATAAACTTACCGTTATTTGCGGAGCTGGCCTTCGTTTGGCCACTGACGACGAAATGGTGAATCTATTTAAATAATCCGTGGGTAAAATAGATTGGCCCAGTGGTATGTTATACTCAGCTCGACTCGTTCTTGCTTCGTTTAATAGAATCTGCAATTAAAAATAATGCAAAGAGAAATTGAGTAAAAAAATTAATTTATCAAACTTAATTACTAGTTCAAACATATAAGAAGAAAATCAGTGAGAAATTGATTCTATAATTATTAAAAAATTGCTTTTCAATTCTTAGAAAATTAGAATACAATTAATCAATTCACTGTTATTCACTGTCTGTATGGATGTCTTGTTTAGTCACGCGCATGTTCCTATTCAAATTTGTCTAATTGTTTGCACGTTTAAAATAATAATTATTGTTTTACTGCTTTTTTTTGAAGAGAATTATGCTTTGTTTTGAGATATTAATCCGGCGATGAAAAGTTGAAATATTTTGCTGATTTGTGTCAATATTAAATCGTTGATTTATAGATTGTTAATAGTGGTTTCGGGATGAGAATTGAATAAATAGATTTTCAAGTTAATTTCATTTTAATTTAATTCAATTTCAATTTTCATTTTACAGCGTTAGATTTAATTTAATGAATCAATTTAGAAACGTTAATAAATTATCAACAAATACTTTATTTTTCCAATGATTAATTCGATCTGCCCAATTGAATTGTGAAATGACATTTTTAAGCAATAATTATCAAGTTTCATAATTCTTCCTAAATTGCAATTATAGCATTAAAATATCAAACAGAAACTAGTCGTTAAAATAAAATAAATTTGTAATGCTTTGACAGATTTGCATGGGTTGTAAAAAATACTGCATTAGATGCTTTTCACATTAATTTTGCATTGAAAAATTGTTCAACATTTTGTAGGAAGAAGTTTTCCTTAAATGATCGTAGATATGTCTTTTGAGACTGAATTTCTATTCAGTCATTGTGCATTCGCAATGTCTGTAACATTTTAAGTAAAGGAGTGGAAATTTTCCACTTACTGACATTGTCTGTCCTAATTGTATAGTTTTACAAGACTTTTATTTTTAAAAGTCAATTCAATAACATTTGAATGACTTTTTTTGGTAAGTCAATCTGTTTTTAAAGCTTGATATTAGGTTTCAAAAGTGTGTTTGATTTTGTTCTATTGTATGAAACAAGTAAGAATTTAATTAAGATTCATTAAACGCATTTTCTAGATTTATTTATTAATTATAGTGCAGATCAGCATTTTAAAAGCTAACCTTAATTAAGTGAAAATTTCCTAGTGCTCATTTAAAAAAGATTCGAGTAACAAAAACTTCAAAAAATCTCAAATTTAACACAGATTTTTTAACCAAAATTTTCCCAGACCTTGACAATAACAAAGCATCATCATCACATCGTGTCAAACAATAAAATGCGCTCGATCGTGCGTTGAATTTTAAAGTTCTATGAGAGAGAATACAGAAAATTTTACTCTCAAAACTAATTTGCTTCAAGTTTTTTATTTTATTTTCTGTTTATTTGTTGTTGTTTTGTTATTTTTCTTGAAGCTTAAAAGTCATGAACATTCAGTGTTGTGTTATTTTTTGTTGTAGTTTTTATTTACGTTTTCTTTTTTTTTTAATTTTTTTTGTTATTATTATTTGAAATATCTTAGTATATCTTGCTAGCTTTTTTGATGGAGCAATTTACGTAGACTCGCAAGTGAGTGAGGAATAGCAATAAATTTATAGGAGTAGAAGAAGAGTGAATGAGTAAGAAAGTTGACGAAATGGAAAGGGTTTGGCGTGCATTTGATGAAAAATTTTTTGAACGTACCTTCGGAGATAGGATCGGAACAATTGAGTAGTACATCAAAAGAAAGGATGGATCTAAAAAATTGAGATTTTTTAATCCAAATCGAAATAAAACAAATTTTTTTAAAATAATTTTGAAACTCTTCCAAATATCTTGTCAGTCATAATGCATGCAATATTAACACTCAACCTACATAAGAGACAATTTATGCTAAAAAAAATATGTATCAATTTAATTATTTTACACAGCAGTAGTAGAGAAATAAATGTATATTAAAAACTTTTTATCTCAATGTTGTGTACGAAAGCGTTAATGCAAAGAAAAAGAAAAGATTTTGAAACAATTCATAAATTTCTAGAGTAATATGGACTAGAGGTTAGGAGAAAGAAATGAGGAAATACGTGCGAGGTGAAGCAATTCATGTTGAGAAATTTAATTCGATGAAAATCTGTTCCTTTATCTATAGAAAGCTCTGCCATTCAACCTCCACTTTAAAATATTATATTTTCTTCAAATTTTTTTTTATCTTCGTCTCTCTGAATTTAATAAAGCAAAAAACATTTACTCGCGTGGCAACGATACACAATTGTAATCTTTAAAAGATGTGAAAATACAACAAAAGGAAAATCTCAGATGTTGTTCACAATATTACAGTAAAGGAATCCTCACAGACAATTTCATATACATATTCATAATAATATTTCAATAGCATGCTAAACGATTGTATGTAGATGAAACTTTGCCGGCTTCTTGAATCAAATCTTCTTCTTGCCATTCCCCTTGTGATTTTTATGAAATAAGTTTTTAATATTTTTTGAGTTCTTTTATAAGTTCAGATCAACATCCAAAAATCTGACAAATTCTCCACAAGAGCTTCACAATTTCATTCATGGAAAATTAATTTTCAAAGACCGAAAAAAGAAGTAAATTTTCACTTTCAAACGCACACAGTCAAACATCTGTAGCGTGCTCATACTTTATGATTTTATCTATAGCAAATCAAAAAAGAAGTTTTTAATTTTAAGCCATCCAAATGAGAAGTGGAATGAAGATGGATAATAAAAAGGAAAAAAAGTAAAGAATTTCGTTCCATTCTTGTTGGTACTTTGTAGTCCATGAAATTAAAGAATATTTCGTTACTTGTATTTTATTTTCTTGTTTCGTTCTAAAGACTGTTTTTTAGAATCAATAACAGATGAGCAGGAAAAAAGAAAGAAAATGAAAAAAAAGTTGGAATGAAACTTTTTTTTTGTTGAAGCAAAACAAGTGAAATAAAGAACGAGAAAGAAATAAAATTGAAAAAAAGTTTCACATCAAATATTAATTTCAGACATAAGTTGGATTTTTTTTTTAATTTTTTCCGCTGTTTGTTAGGGAGTTGAAGTAATGAATTTGTCTGTAGAAAGGATTGGGAATTATGTTAGAAATACGAAGGTTTTTTTCTTAGTCAGAGATTACATTGAATCAAAGCTGGTTAATGAATGAAGGAATATTTGCCCATGGCTAGTTTAAAAACAAGAGAACAATATAAAACTGATGTGGATGTCAACAGGGATTAAAGTTGTGGAAAAATGGCATAGACTTGCATTTTAACTTCAGGATGTTGAATTTATGTAAACCTTTTGGACTAAATATGAGTTTTAAAATGGAACAAATGGGACATTAAGGTAGGATTTTGAAATAGTCAACAAGCCTTTGTAAGTTTATGGCTGACAAATTATCCCAAATCACTTCGTTCATCATATTTCAAAGGTAATAAGGGTAATAATACTTTTTATTGATGGATAAAACATTTTTGATTTTGGAAACTAACCATTCATGAATCACCTGCTTAATATTTAAAATTTCTTTTAACTTTAAAACTAATTAAGTTATGCAATTTATTCAGATTGCGTTCATTAAGTATATGTCAATAAAACACTAATAATTTAATTCATTTGATTTGACAGAACATGTTTAAACAGAATATAAAGCTCAAATGACGTGATGACTGTTAAGAAGGGGATTTATTATGATTCAGGAGCTTGTTTTGAATGGCATTTAAAGATTTTATTTCAATTAAAATGTTCCATTATGAAATAAGTCCACAAGACTGAGTAGCTAATTGTTTGAGCTGAAATCGTTTGATTTGAAATCGAGTTCTGCTAAACAATGAAATCGAGTTCAGACCAAGTTGAAAAGTTGAAAGCATGTAAATCACTATTTAAATTCAGGATATTTCATTAATTTTGACAATATCTGAATATATATCACATTTCGCAATCACCAATTCCTTTCTAAAAAAATCCCAAGTTACCAACCACAATATAGCAAACCTTACTTCTAATTCCATTCATTCTTATTTCCCTCATAGCTCTCAGCAGTACCAGTAACAAAAAATCGTATACTTAATCTTCGTGTGCTGCTTTGTTAATATACACGTTTTAAGTGTGAGTGACGTCCATCAATCAATCAACATTAAAGAGTAAAGGCAAAGAGCAAAAAAAAGAGAATTTTCCATACCGACGAGAGAGAAAAAAGACGCAAGATTATTTATATCAAGATTTTAATCTTGCATAATTGTGAAAGTGAGATGGAGGTAGTGAAGGTATGGTAAGGTTAGTAAATCGATTGAGTAGAGCAAAAAGTAAAATATTCAAATTCAACAGAAGTGAAGATAAAAATGAGCATTTGAATGTCTATGTCTAGGACAAGATGTAAATAATAAGCTTATAGTGTAATACGATAATGATTTGATGTTATGAGTATCGCGAGTGAACTTTAAAAAATTCTTAAAAATGCACACAATTCAGTCTGGTTTGTTGAGGGAAGAAAGAGCATGAAATAAGATACAAGTAACCTTCTCACGATTCACTATCTCAATTTACCACATAATGCGATTCAAATATTTTCCTCTTTCCTATTTATTCTATGTATTTTATTTATTTACTGTAAAGGGAACTGAGTTTGAAAATCACTGAAACTTTGATTGCTGGACGCATTTATTGAATTTAAATAAGGGACAGAAATTCTTTCTTCAAAATTGTTCCAAATTAAATTAATTCTTTATTAACTTAGCATTCAAAACTGACAATAGTTTCACAATTCTAACCTCAAACTTATTAATATTCTGCTTGATAAAATATGAAACCACCAAGAGCAATTCAATTCATATTTTTTAAGAAGAAAGAAATCAAAATTATCAATAAAAAATTATTTCAAACTTCATAAAGAAATCTTTTCGAATGCATTTCTTTATTCATGATGCATGCAAAAAGGAGATTGATGATTTTGTCGACATAAAAATCGTCTCTCAAAGTGAACCGCAATTTATTAAATCAAGCACACGTTGGAGAGGAGAAATGCAGAATGTAAGTTATTACTATTTTTGTGAAAAAGAAGTGAAATATACTTGAGGATGTCATGGGTGACAAGTACCTCATTATAAGCTCGAATTATTTATTATTATTGCCATTATTATTATATATTTTACGGCGAGCAACTGAAAAAAATATCTCCACTTAATATCAAGGATATCAAGTTTAAGTGCATATGTTGACTCATACTTGGGACGATGCTTTGAAAGTGCATTTAAAACTGTTAAGAAATTAAATTGGGTTATTGTCACAGTTTGTGTCTCTTAGTTTAAGAGATTGTAGAATTTTCAATTAGCAATTGAATGTTATGAATTAGGAAGGTTTAAAGTTGATTTCTTAAAGTTTTTGTTTTGAATTTTATCGATTGTAAAATGCTCAGATAGCTCAAAAACCAGAATAGTGTTCATTTTGTCAAATGACAAAATCATCGTCTGTGAAAGGCACACAATAACATGCCGAATAAATTCAGAATACAATTTTATTGTCTATCTAAGATTATAAATCGTATTGGCAACGAGCCATTCAAATGGTCATATTTGTCAGGAAATGTAAATATCTGCGAAATTTGTAGTAATAAAAATCCAACTAAGGTTGTAGGAACTGGAAGCATTTCATGAAAAATGCGTAAAATATTTAGTTTGGAACAAATTGTATGGAAGTTGAGGAAACAAGCCTATGTAAAATGAAAACATTTTTAAATTTGATAGTTCTTGTCAGCATGATACTCACTACCTACTGATTCTTTCAATTTATTTTCAACACGTTTAACAACTTTTTTTAAGAAAATATGAATTTTTTGGGCCTATTTAAGATTTTTTTTTTGTGGCATTCGGTTCAAAGTTGATAATTTTAATTTATTGGAAGACAAT